CTAATGGTGGCTCTAAACTCCTCTCTATCAAGCCTTCCCGGTAGTCACCCTTCTTGGTTTTAGTGGATACCTAATGGTGGCTCTAAACTCCTCTCTATCAAGCCTTCCCGGTAGTCACCCTTCTTCTCCTTGCTTCTTCTTCTTCTTCTATGTTGACAGAGAGAGCTTGGTAGAGGGGAATTGGCAAAAGGAAATGGGGTTTTGGGGTGGTGGTGTGGCTGGTCTAGAAGGGAGAGGTGAGGAAGAAAATGGGAGTTTTTCTCTCATGCAAGGAAAGGAGGAGGAGGAGGAGGGAGAGAGAGAGAGAGGTTGTGGGTATTTATAGACATGATTATGTGACATTTGGAAATGGAATACCAGGTAATTTGGAGGATTTATTTGCAAAATTATGTACCCTATTCTAGGGTGTCTTGCCTGTCCAAAATAACAAGGTGGAGGGGTTTTTGTGTGAAGTTGTCATGATTATGTTGTGTTAAAAGGTGATTAAGACAAACTTAATTAGGGGTTAAGGGTTATTGATGTTTGGGAGTAGCATAGTTAGATTAATATATTCACATTATAGGTCTCTAACTTATGCTATTGGAATTCATGCATTGCAATTGTCGACACGGGTCGGTACCAATATCGGTATCTGACTATAAATAATCTGTTGAATCTAGAAAAGTATTTTTTTTCCATAATTAAATGGAAGCATATGGATATGGTTTAATGTTAGTGTTATATTGTTCATATTTGTTAGTGAAAGACCCTTGAATTGATTTAGAAAAAAAACAAGTCCCACCATTTAGAGAGAGATTCATGCTGGTGTTGAATATTCATTGTCTAACTCAAAGATCATGTGTGGCATGCATTAATGGTGTCAAAAAATCTGGATTGACCTGTGGGATTTTGACATTTCTGCTATCCATAATATCCGATAGAACCATATGCGTGCAAGTACCAGCATGTCATTTTAAATCAAATATTGAATGGTCTTAAACGCTGCCAAGTCATGAATGTCAATAGAAAAAATCTACAATGAGAACAAAGTCTTTATCCCGAAACTTTGGGGTCAACGCGTAAATCTCATCAAACATCAATATTGTTTCTGAAATGTAGACTTTATCCCGAAACTTTGGGGTCAACGCGTAAATCTCATCAAACATCAATATTGTTTCTGAAATGTAGACTCGGTTGCTTTGGGAAATATCAGCGAAAAATCCGATTCCACTTGTTATAATGGGAGCTGAAATTCAAGAATGGTTCCCACGCTTTTCTTTCTGATGGTTATGATAATTTCTCATGTATGGATATGGAAACTATACAGATCTTCATTTTCTTATAAATCGTCCATCTGCATGACCACTTTGTTACTTGATGTAATATGCACCTTCTAATTGTTGATGTAGCGCACAAGTTCATAAATTCTTATGAACATGCTACAATATATCTATCTTATAAACATTCTGGCACGTCAATTGCCGTTTACATAATTGCCGTAGCTACTTGTCTTCGTGATATTTAAATTTCCATCAGAAGTGAATGTTCAATGTTATATTTTTTTATTTTAGTTATGTTTCGAGTTCTATCTTGTATCATTATTTTTTTGTATCCCAATTTAGCATGATTGTGTCATACAGGTTGCTCGCGGACCCCCGAATGGATTGAATCCTGCAGTCCCTCATCAATCTCTGCCCGGCCGATACGAGCTCGATATAAACTATGAAAGAGGCTTAAAGAAGGGCTCCCACATGAGCAAGATGGCACAATCAGCATATTGTGAGGTTTGTAAGATTGAGTGTAATAGCCGTGAAGTCCTTAATAGCCATAAACAAGGGAAGAAACACAAGAAAAATCTTCAGAAGCTGCAGGAAGCAATCACTCCAAGACCCAACGAAGCTCAAGTGGCGGTAAAACCTACTAATATGGAAGCTCTAGTTGCTGAGGGAAATGCTTTAGGAACTAAGAAAAGAAAGAGAAAGGATGCCCCAGAGGAAGATTTAGAGACAAAGATGAGGAGGATTGTTAAAGAAGGAACAGAGCCAAATGAAGTAAAAGTGTGCACCATCTGCAATGTAGTTATGAACAGCCAGATAGTGTACAACTTTCATATTGCTGGGTCAAAGCATGCTGCGATGCTGAAGAAACAGCAGGAGGCTGCAGCTAGCTGAAAGTGAATGAAACATGCGTCATAGATGTGTAGTTCCTGACATCAAATGACAACTTGGAATAGCATGTAGCAGCACTTATGTAAGATTCCAGCAGCTAAAACTTGTGTTGTCCACTTAACTTACAAATTATTTTATGTCATAAGTTTTGCTTGAATAGGTTACATTTGAACTGTTATGGTATATGCATATTCAGCGAAAGACAGTGTACACATAGTAGATTGAGATGGCTAAACGAGGGAGCAAATAATATCCAAATTGCATGAAACTAGTTTCAAAATGCTCTTACATGAGTCTATTTTCTAGGACAACAAATGGTTCATTATTCCAAAATTGAGAGGATAAGTTAATGCTCAAATGTGCAAGATATGCACAAACTGTGAAATGCAGTTTATATTAGCTGATTCAATTGACTAGATGAGTGGTCAAACAATTTAAAATTAGTGAAATAAAAGCCAGCATGTTCCTATACGAGTCTAGTTTCCAAGATTAAAAATAGTTTGTGAATATGAATTTTCTATAGAGAGATATGGCCTTTATAGTGCATGGGTGTCAGCATTTCAACGGCTTGCAGTTTACAGATAACACCATCTGAATCACTCACTTTGATTCGGTCAACAAATTGCATCAAGATCTAATAATTTTCCTACTGAAAGAAGCTTGATGAGTTTACTTTCAAAACCAAAACCCATCTTATTTTATCCAAACAAGAGACAAAGTTACATGCAAAACAATCCAAGAGGGGTCAGATTGTCTTTCCAGTGAATGTGCATAAACTTTAGCTGAAAAATTGAGACAACAAATAAACTCCAAATAGAAGCAAACCAGTGCCGAATGAAAGCTGTGTGAATCTAGTTTCCAACACAGAAAACCATACTTAAAAAGGGTTTGTCTAGATAAAGATATGCTCAATTTACTAATGACATGTTCTGTAGGAAACTGCTGCACAAGGCTGATGCTACAAATATCGACATTCATGCTTATTTAGCCACTAACCAAAGCAAAGACCACCACAATTCAACGTTAAGGGACTAAGAACCATGGAAGATAACAATTTTTCTTCATTAGGATGCATACAGATGTTTTTGTTTTCATCTTAGAGTGACATGCATGTACAAAAGCCATCTAAATCCTACATGCAAGGGTTCATTCAACAAAAATAGCTCATGCTTGACCAAATTAGCTAAACATTGTCAATTTTCAAATTTAATGAGAAGAAAAAATGTGAAGTGGTTTTAGTGGATACCTAATGGTGGCTCTAAACTCCTCTCTATCAAGCCTTCCCGGTAGTCACCCTTCTTGGTTTTAGTGGATACCTAATGGTGGCTCTAAACTCCTCTCTATCAAGCCTTCCCGGTAGTCACCCTTCTCCTTGCTTCTTCTTCTTCTTCTTCTTCTATGTTGACAGAGAGAGCTTGGAAGAGGGGAATTGGCAAAAGGTAATGGGGTTTTGGGTTGGTGGTGTGGCTGGTCTAGAAGGGAGAAGTGAGGAAGAAAATGGGAGTTTTTCTCTCATGCAAGGAAAGGAGGAGGAGAGAGAGAGAGAGAGAGGTTGTGGGTATTTATAGCTAGACATGATTATGTGACATTTGGAAATGGAATACCATGTAATTTGGAGGATTTATTTGCAAAATTATGTACCCTATTCTAGGGTGTCTTGCCTGTCCAAAATAACAAGGTGGAGGGGTTTTTGTGTCAAGTTGTCATGATTATGTTGTGTTAAAAGGTGATTAAGACAAACTTAATTAGGGGTTAAGGGTTAATGATGTTTGGGAGTAGCATAGTTAGATTAATATATTCACATTATAGGTCTCTAACTTATGCTATTGGAATTCATGCATTGCAATTGTCGACACGGGTCGGTACTAATATCGGTATCTGACTATAAATAATCTGTTGAATCTAGAAAAGTATTTTTTTTCCCATAATTAAATGGAAGCATATGGATATGGTTTAATGTTAGTGTTATATTGTTCATATTTGTTAGTGAAAGACCCTTGAATTGATTTAGAAAAAAAACAAGTTCCACCATTTAGAGAGAGATTCATGCTGATTAAACTTGGACCGGGGAATCTGCTTACCATGGTGGTCGTTAATGGTGTTGAATATTCATTGTCTAACTCAAAGATCATGTGTGACATGCATTAATGGTGTCAAAAAATCTGGATTGACCTGTGGGATTTTGACATTTCTGCTATCCATAATATCCGATAGTACCATATGCGTGCAAGTACCAGCATGTCATTTTAAATCAAATATTGAATTGTCTTAAACGCTGCCAAGTCATGAATGTCAATAGAAAAAATCTACAATGAGAACAAAGTCTTTATCCCGAAACTTTGGGGTCAACGCGTAAATCTCATCAAACATCAATATTGTTTCTGAAATGTAGACTTGGTTGCATAGGGAAATATCAGCGAAAAAATCCGATTCCACTTGTTATAATGGGAGCTGAAATTCAAGAATGGTTCCCACGCTTTTCTTTCTGATGGTTATGACTTATGATAATTTCTCATGCATGGATATGGAAACTATACAGATCTTCATTTTCTTATAAATTGTCCATCTGCATGACCACTTTGTTACTTGATGTAATATGCACCTTCTAATTGTTGCCGTAGCGCACAAGTTCATAAATTCTTATAAACATGCTACAATATATCTATCTTATAAACATTCTGGCACGTCATTTGCCGTTTACATAATTGCCATAGCTACTTGTCTTCGTGATATTTAAATTTCCATCAGAAGTGAATGTTCAATGTTATATATTTTTTTATTTTAGTTATGTTTCGAGTTCTATATTGTATCATTATTTTTTGTATCCCAATTTAGCATGACTGTGTCATACAGGTTGCTCTCGGACCTCCGAATGGATTGAATCCTGCAGTCCCTCATCAATCTCTGCCCGGCCGATACGAGCTCGATATAAACTATGAAAGAGGCTTAAAGAAGGGCTCCCACATGAGCAAGATGGCACAATCAGCATATTGTGAGGTTTGTAAGATTGAGTGTAATAGCCGTGAAGTCCTTAAAAGCCATAAACAAGGGAAGAAGCATAAGAAAAATCTTCAGAAGCTGCAGGAAGCAATCACTCCAAGACCCAACGAAGCTCAAGTGGCTGTAAAACCTACTAATATAGAAGCTCTAGTTGCTGAGGGAAATGCTTTAGGAACTAAGAAAAAAAAGAGAAAGGATGCCCCAGAGGAAGATTTAGAGACAAAGATGAGGAGGATTGTTGAAGAAGGAACAGAGCCAAATGAAGTAAAAGTGTGCACCATCTGCAATGTAGTTATGAACAGCCAGATAGTGTACAACTTTCATATTGCTGGGTCAAAGCATGCTGCGATGCTGAAGAAACAGCAGGAGGTTGCAGCTAGCTGAAAGTGAAAGAAACATGCGTCATAGAAGTGTAGTTCCTGACATCAAATGGCAACTTGGAATAGCATGTAGCAGCATTTATATTTTATTGTTTAGGTCTAGTTGTAGGATCCTCTATGGTAAGTGAGGGAGGCGAAAAAGAAACATGTGCAATTTGCCTTGTAATTTCAATTATCGCGATCATTCTGTAATTGATACATAGCTCTTGCCTCCTGAATTAGCTAGTTGTGTTGTGACTTTGCAGGGTGATTTTAAGGCACATGTGAAAGTGAAGACTTAAAACGCTTAAACTTCGTAGTTAAGTTTTAAGTTTCCTTTCCTAGATCTCTTTCTTATTTTGATGTGTAAATTGTTGCATGCTCTTCTATTATGTGAGTCTTTGTTTATCGTAGAATGCTGAAGAGATGGAGGTGATCCATTGCTCTTATGAGAAAAACTTTTTCCGAAGAGATGTGAGTCTTTGTTTATTGTTTCCAGTTAACTTAGTTGTTCTCTAAATTAGCATGTGGAAATCAGGTAACTTACTGTACTTATTGTAATTTTGTGTTTAGAAAAATACAGTACGAGGGTTCACTACTGATTTGGAGGAATAAAAATCGGTAATAACCCAACTTTGCAAGCTTTAGTAATTTTAAGTAGTTACATCAGTACATCATATTACTCATGATGATTTATGGATTTCTCATTCCAATCTCATTGGTTGGAGGAGACGAATTTCTTCAGAAATTTGATGATAGTCTTATTGAAAGCTTCAGCTAGATCATTAACAACTGGGTTGTATGGTGAAAGTCACATCTTGAATTCTAAACTTATTGCAGAATTTGAACCTTAGGAATTCCTACTTATTGCATTTAAAACTTTTAAACTGGAAAACTTTTAAACTTATTGCCAGAATTTTAACCCTAGGAATTCTAAACGATACAACCCAGCTAGACCATTAGTTAAATTTTTTTAATTGGAAACAATAAACAAAGACTCACATCTCTTCGGAAAAAGTTTTCTTCTCATAAGAGCAATGAATCCCCTCCATCTCTTCAGCATTCTACGATAAACAAAGACTCACATTAATAGAAGAGCATGCAAAAATTTACACATCAAAATAAAAAAGAGATCTAGTAAAGGGAACTAAAAACTTAACTATGAAGTTTAAGTGTTTTAAGTCTTCACTTTCACATGTGCCTTAAATCACCCTGCAAAGTCACAACACAACTTGCTAATTCAAGATGCAAGAGCTATGTACCAATTACAGAATGATCGTGATAATTGAAATTACAAGGCAAATTGCACATGTTTCTTTTTTGCCTCCCTCACTTACCATACAGGATCCTACAACTAGACCTAAACAATAAAATATAAATGTTGCTTCATGCTATTCCAAGTTGCCATTTGATGCCAGGAACTACACTTCTATGACGCATGTTTCTTTCACTTTTAGCTAGCTGCAGCCTCCTGCTGTTTCTTCAGCATCGCAGCATGCTTTGACCCAGCAATATGAAAGTTATACACTATCAAGCTGTTCATAACTACAATGCAGATGGTGCACACTTTTACTTTATTTGGCTCTGTTTCTTCTTCAACAATCCTCCTCATCATTGTCTCTAAATCTTCCTTTGGGGCATCCTTTCTCTTTGTTTTCTTAGATCCTAAAGCATTTCCCTCAGCAACTGGAGCTTCCGTATTAGTAGGTTTTACAGCCACTTGAGCTTCGTTGGGTCTTGGAGTGATTGCTTCCTGCAGCTTCTGAAGATTTTTCTTATGCTTCTTCCCTTGTTTATGGCTTTTAAGGACTTCACGGCTATTACACTCAATCTTACAAACCTCACAATATGCTGATTGTGCCATCTTGCTCATGTGGGAGCCCTTCTTTAAGCCTCTTTCATAGTTTATATCGAGCTCGTATCGGCTAGGCAGAGATTGATGAGGGACTACAGGATTCAATCCATTCGGAGGTCCGAGAGCAACCTGTATGACACAGTCATGCTAAATTAGGATACAAAAAATAATGATATAAGATAGAACTCCAAACATAACTAAAATAAAAAAATATAACATTGAACATTCACTTCTGATGGAAATTTAAATATCACAAAGACAAGTAGCTACAGTGTTTGCTTCGGGAATAATTTTCTTTGTAGCTTCCATTAAATCGTTTAAAAGGAAACAAAAGAATAAGCTTTACAACTGCAACTCTCCTCTTTACAAAGAAAACAAAATTGTGCTCCCTAGTAACACGTACAAAAACACCTACGTAATAGCCTCTGCTTGCGTGAGATTCTTTGCCTATGCCGAGGATGCGTTATTCGTGGACCACCTGTAGGCTGTCTAAAAATCACAATAGATAGCTGATCCAAATAAGCTCCGACAATGAAGGTCACAATCAGACGACTTCCCAATCACTGCATCCGCAACTCCACAATCGCCACAAACACGACCTCACTTCTGAGATGATTGATCTTGATGGCTGCGACAACAGCATGAATAGCATTATTAGCAACTATTGGAGATGCTGATGAGCAGTGTAATAATTTTAGAAAGAAAAGGTTGGACTTAGGTGGTGAGTTGTTTGGTAGAGAGCTGTGGGCAAATATTCGTCTTCAAGACACTATGGATGTTGATTCCCGTCAAGCTCTCACAACGAAAGCTACAATCAAATAGCTTTCGCGCCGACAATCGAAACATACAATCAAATAGTTGCTTGGTAGAGAGCTGTGGGCAAATATTCATCTTCAAGACACTATGGATGTTGATTCCCGTCAAGCTCTCACAATGAAAGCTACAATCAAATAGCTTTCGCGCCGACAATCGAAACATACAATCAAATAGTTGCTTGGTAGAGAGCTGTGGGCAAATATCCATCTAAGCACAATCCAAACGCGGGCGACCCTCGCGTTCATAGGGGTTCAATCAACGTTGACCCCCGCGTTTCCAAGCAGGCAACAAGCTAAACGCGAGTGACCCTCGCGTTCAATGGTGTTCAGCTAACACCCAACCTCGCGTCTCAATCCTAAGACACGAAGTTGGGTTCTGAACGCCAGAATGGGCGTTTGACTCGTTCAAACATGAGTCGAACGGTTCCAAAACCGTTTATCCCACGTTCTGAGGGATGTTCGCCCACGTAGGAGCGGATATAGGGGTCAGTTACAACCTCCTACCCCCCTATAAAAGCTCAACAAACCCAACGGAGCAAGTGGTTGGATTTTTGGCATCTGAACCGCACAGGTTGGATTCTGAAGATCTAAACCGCTCAGGTTGGAAATTTTTCAGTTCTCAAACAGATAAGGGCTAGCTGGTTGGATTTTTCATATCTGAACCGCACGGGTTTGGAAATTCGGAAGGATCTCAACCGCACGAAGGGTTAGCTGCAGCAGCAAAATCCTTGGAGATAGGATTTTTGAATCAAACTCAGAAGATCAAATCTGAGAGGATTCTTCAACAACAGAATAACAGCTTGATCATTAACCGAATTTTTGGTTCTAACAACTCTATTCACAGAGTTCTAACTCGTTCAGAGTTCTTAAACTCGTTGAAGAGTTACTTATAAAACTTTCCACAGAAGTTCATCGTTCCCACGAGATAGAAGACGGTCGGATCGTCAACGGAGAACAATTTCGACGCGAGCAATCGAATGAGGCATTCCATCGCTACCGAGAAGAACCCAGTTTTAAACAAAGGAGAGAATCAAATTCGTTCTCTCCTCTTTTGTAATCAAGTTGTAATCGAGATCAAAGGAATCCAAGTCAATTTTCTTTATTCTCTTCTTTACAATTTTTCCTACAAACAAAAGATGGCGACTCCGCTGGGGACTAGCTTTTCCGACGAGAAAGTGGTGGCGCAGTCCGACGTCCACCTCATAGGGACGACTGTAGAAACTCTTGTCGTAGAGTTTGATCAAGCTAAGTACGAGGAAGTATTATCCTCAGGATCGCTTAGCCCCAAGGCTAAGCACGATGTCCGCGAGACCTCCAAGAAGGTCAATTCTGTTGTCGAAGTGCCGAAGAAAGCCCTCTCCTTCGGCCAAGAACTCAAACTGGCTCTACTGGCGGAAGATCCCACATCCGTGTCAACAAGACGTTCTTCGGGCCACAAACGGCCTTTGGAGGAAACGGGCCCTGTGAACGTCAGGGACGTTGCTGCTAAGGCTTTGAAACAAGCCAAAAAGAACGCCGCTCGCCGACGGAGAAGATCCATACGACGAGCACACTTACGTGAGAGCCGAATGCTGACCCAACGCGAGGACCGCGTTTCTGAAAATCCAACCGAGCCTAGCGTTCCCAAAGGAGAACGTTCACTTCGCGGCAACGAGCCCGACTATGAGCCTCGGCTTATACAGCTGAAACGCGACCCTGAATGGCGCGTTGTTACTTCAAAACGCAGCCCTCGGAGCGGAGCTGCCAAAACCAAACGCGACCCCCAGGGGCGCGTTCCGATAGAACATGACTCTAAGGAGTCTGTTTCACCACTTAAACGCGACCCTCAGGGGAGCGTTCAACTTAAACGTGACCCTCAGGGGAGCGTTCAACTTAAACGCGACCCTCAGGGAAGTGTTCAATTTAAACGCGACCTTCAGGGGAGCGTTCAACCTAAACGCGACCCCCAGGGGCGCGTTCAACCTAAACGCGACCCTCAGGGGCGCGTTCAACCTAAACGCGACCCTCAAGGGCGCGTTCAACCAAAACATGACCCTCAGGGGTCAGTTTCATCATTTAAACGTAGGCCTCGGCCTAACGTCTCCAAAGCTAAACGCAACCCTCGCGTTATCCTTCAAGAACGCGATCTTCAAGAGGTTCGTCAGGTTCAGAAGAGTCAGCGTGGCTTCAAAATCCACGTTCAACGAGAACCAATTTCACCTACCCAAGGGCAGGGGGTTCCATCTCCACCTCCAAGTCCGGGGAAAGTTTCCTCTCAAGTTCCTGATCTGCGGGAATTGTTGTCGAGAGGAAAATCAACAGCACAAGCAGCTCACTCATGTCAATGTGAGAGGCTTATCTCGGCAGTTCTGTCAGAATGCCCTTGTTGTGCATCCGCACCTCGGCAGTCCGTATTCGACAGATTGACGAACGTCGTTAGGCCTGCCAAATGACAACGCCTCTACAGGAAGAAGACAGCTGAAGCGGAATACCCTCAGGTCACTATCAACATGATCGGTCGAGGGAAGGCCTCGCATGTCAATGTGAGAGGCTCATCTCTGCAGTCCTGTCAGAATGCCCTTGTTGTGCATCCACACCTCGGCAGTCCGTATTTGACAGGTTGACACACGTCGTTAGGCCTGCCAAACGACAACGC